ACCACAACAAACCCGGCTATAAATGCACCGCCAGGATCGCGAAAATGCTAACACAGTCTCACTTTGGACTACTCTTTACCTACTCAAAGTCTCCAGTTTGGCAGTCAAGGTGACTTTCTACGAGCAAAAGTGAGAGACCGCAGGTAATTAGTACCAACGGAGCACCTGACTAGGTCTCGATTTGTTAATCAGCAACGCTTTACTCTTAGGTTTCCTAAGCGAGAGATAAGGGTGAGGGAACATATTTGGTCGCCAGGGAGGATGGACTGGGGCTGACGAGAGGGTTCTACAGATTGGCCTAGAAATGATAAGGGAGGGGCACTCGAAGTGTTGAGTGAAGAGGATGTCATCGAAAAGAATTTTTCTCGACGCTATGGTGCGCTCTGTTACGATCCTTTTCCCACCTGGTGCGGCCATCTCGTTGTTAATTTCGTTGGAACTTGCAGTTCCCTCGGCAGCTGCTCATCTAACCTCAGCCCGTCCTGGGTCAATTTTGAGCTCTCCTTTGGACATTCGATAGTCTAGCTCTGATGAAAGCCCTTCTGTATTTTTCGTGACTCTGGTTTATTTCAACCATCATGAAAACCTATTTTGTACGCACGAGAGGGGACTGGGAGGGGTGGCGTAGCGGAAGCCAGTGACGCTTAGCATGCGCACGCTCCGAGGGTCAAATCCTAGATTAGCTCCCGCTCAGACCATCCGAGTCTTCCATCCCTCTGAACCCCGTGAACTGATACAAAACTCGTCTTGGAGGACAGAAACACAGACTCGTTCATCAGCTGATCCTCGCGTGTGAGACCAATTCTAAATGCCAGCGCAGTTCGGCGAGGTGGCCAGGTGGGGGGGGGCACTTTGCACAGTGCACTGCTCCCGGCGCTGAACAAAGCTCGTCCAGCCACCATGATAAAGTTGCAAATTCTCGTGAGCTCATGAAATAGCTCTAGATGGCTCGACAAGTCCACGGCATGTAGCAAAACTGCAAGATGCTTCCCTTCGCCACTCTGCCCCTAAGTGCCTTTACGACTCCAAACGAAAGTAGAATGCACGGCGCATTCTGGGACGGGACTTATCGTCGCCGGATATCTTGGGCGTCTGACTAGATATCAGCTCCTTGCAACTTAATCTACAAAGTTCGTTTGCACCATATTCTCCCTATCTTGGGAATCAATTTAGTTTCTTTGAATAAAAGCATTTCCAGGAGATGCTCGGTATGGGAGGGGCATATTGCATTGCTGTTCAATTACACATTACACAATAATGAGACTAGAGCGATGCTCCTATTGTATAGCTTTACAGGAGTCTATACCTCTCTACAGGAGTCGTCGCCAGTGATCGATGGAAAGCAACAGAATCCCCCCACCAAACCGAACTGCGCTGCAATCCATTTCCATGCATCGCAACCAGGGCACATCGTCGTTGGAGCTTGCACAATCGTATGTGGAGGGTGAAGAGGGGGTCCTTTGGTTTCCTAGAGTCGCATTTGGATTGGCGGAAATTTGTTCGTTGTTGAATCTCGTTCTATACCTCCAACCTTCCCCCCCCCCCACCCTCCCGTACTCATCCCTCAAGCTGAATGGTGAAGGAGGGGGTCGTATTTTGGAAAACTCCCCATAGCCATGATGTGCCCTCATCGAAACTCGGGCAAGTTCTCCAGCTGGGGAAAATTTTCGGAAAATGGATTTCCCAATGTCGTCCTCTGATACGACACCCTTCCCCATTCTCTAAATTTTCCCAGCCTCCTACCACATTTTGTGAAATTTCCCAAGAAATTTTCAATTTCTCTCAAAATTTCGCCACCTAGCGGCGGGGGGGGGGGGGAATAGAGGCCGTCAAACCAACTACTAGTTTCAACTATCAAAAATAATTCTTGTACATTAGTTCTGAAACGCCACCAACTCGGGGAGAGGCCCCAAAGCAGCAAAATTCTTTCAAGGCAAATACGACCCCTTCCTCTCCCCCAACGACGAGCAAACACGTTCCGACCTCCACTGGAATCTTCTCAACGATGTGAACAGCGCCCGTGAGACAGGAAAAATCAACCATAAAAGATTTTTTTCAGACCAACTATGACCCCCTCGCCGAGGCGCCGGGGTTTTCCCAAAGTAGGACGGATGTGCTCTGATCAGGGTGCATCATTAGTTGGGGATTTTGGGGTCGGGTCAGTACGATCCCCTCTGAAAGGCTAGGAGATGGCTTGATAAGAACTCCCTAGTTCCCTCTCCTCTGGTACGAACGAGCTGTCGGGCGGGGAGGAGAGGGGAATATGTTTACAATATATGAAATGGGGAAACCGGAGAAAATACGACCCCTTTATAGCGTTGTGAAACAGGAAAAATCAACTATCAAAAAAATTTCTCGGACCAAATACGATCCCCTCTTTTCAGCGTCCACGTAAGACCCCGCTGGGGACTTCCCTTCATAGGAAGTGCCCTCATCGCAACCTTCCTGTTTTCTCCCCGTCACTTCCCATTTAGGAAGTCAACGGCTCACTATTTTGGAAGTGAATTCCGCACCAGTCCATCGGGGGACGCCCTTCCATATGACCTCAAAGGACAATCGGAAATCGCTGAAGAGTCTTGACTCGGCCGAATGCTTGACACACTATCAGGATGTCGGAGAAACTTTTTCACGCACTCACACATCCACCCAGAAATGCGATCATCGGCGCTCACAAGTCCGGAACCAAACGACTGTTGGCGCCATCTTGTCGTTCCTTGAGCTGTACGACGAAGGGTGATGAAACTAGCGATGTCATTATGGTCAATGACCACAGAAGCTCCGGTATCTGCTCAGTAGCCACCACTTTTTCCTACCCGAACCAATTTCTGGGTAATGTTCCCGGATAGGATTCGGGTTTCATCAAGGAATAGAAGACCTTAACAAAAACCATTCTGATCATGGGATTTCTCATTGAGTGCCGGGGTGAATGGGCGTCGATCCCCTTATGTCACCTCCGACGTGTCCTCATAAACCCTCGGAAAAGGGTAACTCTCAGCAGGCGGTCATCGTCTAAGGAATGCGGTCAGACCCCCGGTCACCTTTTACACATTCTTCTCCGGTGAATTGCACTTGCACGATAAAAAGCCGGTCGGGAATTTTCACACACGGAAGGGGAAGGTAACACGATGGAAACTTGACCGGAAAGATGGCTGACCCCATCTTGGGTTGTCTTTCCAGTTGGGAAAGATTGCAGGGGCAACAGACGTGATATGAATGATCAGAGGTCCGCCTAGACCTCTCCCAGGATTGAGAAACGCCCTCAGGTCTCCAGTTAGGTATGACCACTTGAAGGTACCACACCCCCCCCCCAATATAAGTATTCTGAGCCTGCACCCAGCAACAGAACAACAGAAGGGTCCGGATTGGTTCCCAACCCGGTTTCGGCAAACTTGGTGTTCACTTAGATGAACCCGGTTTGAATCCCTACTCGGTTCCCTCCTTCTAAAGGAAGATTACGCTAGGTAAACCCAGACCCCGATTCCCCCTTCACCCTGACACCATGATCGTCCTTGGTGGTTAGTGATACCTTTCGGAGTGGATAGAAAATGAAACACTTGTAAACAGGGAGGGGATTTCATTGGGAAAGGGGCATGGGCCCATTTTGGTTTCCAGTCTCAAATATTAGTCCGCTCTCCACCCACCCTACGGGTCCAGTTAGCTTACGAAACCCGGAGTCCGTAGTTGCCTGGCCTTTGGCTACCCACTTTTAACTACAAAAGCTGGACTTAGGACTCAAGCTTGGAGTCTGGGAAATTAGTCCACCCTGTTCTCCACCCTGCACGACCCTTTAGGTCACAAGTTCTCGCACCAGAAGTTTTCCCAAGTCCGAGACCTGTACATGGCCTGGTCATTGTCTACCCAGTCCGAGACCTGTAGGTCCTAGAACTTCGTCGTAAGGGTAAAAGTCCACTAGGAGGGGGAGAGGGAATGTGAAGAAGTTACCATCTAGAGCTAGAAAGGAGTGTCCAAAACTGCTGGGATCAGGGTTGTGAAAGTCTAGAGGGCCTAGGAGCTCCGGTGTGAGTGAACCTACCTCTGTGCAGAAAGTCGCAAATTTCACATGGAATAGCTGAGATGCCCCTCTTGGGGATTCGCCCCAGTTTTCGGTTCCTTACCACCGTTCAGACTTCCAAACTTCTCGCATCATATGTCTCCAACTTCCGTTTTTCCGCTGGCATCATCCGTTTTTCCCTCTTCCGTTGGAGGGAAAACGTCGTTTTCCCTCTCGTACCCGATCGTTCTTCAAGGTTTCTCCTCTTAACAGGTATCCTTAATAGGACACGACGTCATAAGCGTTCATAGAAGGGCGGCGTCAGTACCGTTACGGTGCGCCGCCCATCCTCAGGGGGCTCACATTCCGATTGTCCTTTCGGGAACGAAGGCGTTGTTCCGCGACCATGACGATATCCCTCTCGACGGCGGTGAAAGTTCACCGACAAGTCACCCGTCACACTCCTCAGACTCGACCTCTCGGGTGCCTTGATTTCTCGGGTAACCCAATCAACGGGAGACTAACTCGACTACCCTTTCCCCGGATGAGTTCTTGCGTCATTTGCATTCAAGCGTATAAAATTTCGGCCACTTCACTGACCTGGGGTTTTTCGATCGCCGGTCGGTCGCGTGCTCATTTCAGAAAGCTTTTTGTGCTTCCACTGACCGTCGTTGATTCACAATCGCCGTCTATGAAGTGTCTTGATAGAGTTGACTCTTAAACGTCCTTTGAAACCCGTTAGGGGATTAGACCACCATATCCGTGCGGGCTTAGAGAGCCTTTCGTCGCGCTTAACGTGAAAAGATCGGATTCGATCCATTTTCTCAACTTCCGATTTCTTTCTGCGAAGTTTGATCCGTTCGCTCGCTTTCCGTCGCTTTTCGTCAGTTAGCTTGTTTTTACTCCTTCTCTTAGTCCAATGCAATGACGAGTTTTTCCAGACGGGACCCGCCCTTCAAAGAGCTCAGCAGTGCCATCTACAACACTTCACATAAACGGCACTTCCGCCATGCTCTGGGCCCTACCTCTTCTCGCGCTGGTCAGCGCCCAGACAATTCGTAAGTGAACCTTGAAGCTTAACCTCTATTAGTTTTTTTATGTTTTCGTGAACACTTCAGTCTAAGATTGATCATATTCGGGTGCGGTTCCGCTTGATGGGGGCATTTTGCTGGTTTTCATGACAGTGCCTCATGCAAAACCTGCAGACTCTTGAAGAGCTGTGCAACAGCGCGAGTACGTTCACACTTGACGAGAGCCTACACTAATTTAATAGGAACCAGCACAGGAATATAGCAGAAGTGCAAAATGCCACCATACCCACACCCCCTCCCTGAAGGCCACTTTCGTCCACACTTGTAACCCCAATTTTTAACAGGATTAACGTCCCTGGAGACCAGAAACAAGGGGTTTCAATCAGCTACGTGTCACGCATACGATACGTGAAATGCAGATTCAAGCAAGACCACGTAAAGGGGCACTGTTCGGCTTGGAGGGTGCACTACTGCATTTTCTCTAACTGCTTCTGTGAGTTCGCGTCAAATGAAAGATCAAACATTTGCGAGATTTGTATATTTCTGAAAAGGTTGCGAGTGAGCCTTTCTGGTCATAGGAATTTACCGGTCTTGACATGGTGGCCTGTAAAAACATGGCTAAGTACCGTTTGCTGCCCCTCCACGCCGAACTGCTCCAGTACAGCAATATATATAAGTAAGCCTTCAAACAACCATGTTAGCCATAGAGT